TTTGCTTTAGTGGTCGTAGCTTTAGAGTTGCCTTTTCAAAAGATATCAAAACATTTTTGAAAATGAACAAGAACAGTTGTCAAACAAAGTAAATAAATGGAAGATCCAAATGAAAATGGAAGATTAAATGTTGTACCCTCATCCCTCTTCAGGCAGAGAAGCACCACCCAGTGCTGGTGAAGGTGCTCTGTTCGGAGCTGGGTGTCAAGCCTGAAGCCCTCCTGGACTTTGAGCTCTGTCTGGCAGACACTCAGCCTGGGGTGAGTCTCCATCAAGTAAACCATTGACTCCTGTCACTTCTAATAATCCAGTTTTTCACCCTAAAGCACCAGTGGCCTCAGGCAACCAGCAGAATCTCATGTTTCTTTTAAAACACTGGCACAGAATCAAGGAAAATGTCGGAGATTGTATGTAATATTTTATTGAATGAACAATTGTGATGGAAGAACGGATGTAAAGTTCAAAACCATGTCCATTAATGCCAAACATTACTCTGTTATGTCTGTCTATGCGTAGAAGTGGGGCTTGCCATCTTGTATTTTTTCTTTCAGCAATAAAGATATCAGAAAAGAATTATAGAAATATATAATGCTGTGTGATCCATGTAAGCTGTAGTCAACTGATAATTAGCAGTATAAAATATTTAACTTATTTTAAAGTGAAATAAGAGATTTGATGATCATAAAGAGAGAATAAGAAGTTGAGCTGCATAAATAGCAGAAAATAAAACAAAATTGAACTTGCTGATTTAACTGCTGTTATTAGTAATTATGTTTTAAAAGTATTCCCGGGTTTTCAGCCAATTAAACTACTTGTATCGTTTAAACTCCTTCATTTTCCTCTTGTCTCTGTGTAGGCTTTGGGAGGTGTGTACGAGGAGTTCATTTACTCTCCTCGTCTGGACAACCTTCACAGCTGCTACTGCGCCCTGCAGGTCACACTCCACACCAACACGTCCACAAATCATCTGCAACCTGATATCAGAAATATTTACCATGAGAGTTTGAGTGGGAAGCAAACATGACTTCATTTAATTTACATGAGAATTTAGTAGTTTTTTTTAGTTTCTTTACTCTCATGTTGCTTTCTAACACATTTGTTTCATTAAATTTTTTTAAGACTTCTCCTCTTTTCACACCACATTTCATACTTTCTTTCTTTCTGTCTGACTGTTTTCACCCTCAGGCACTGGTGCAGTCCTGCTCTGGTGACTCTTTGGTGAAAGACACCAACATCCGCATGATCAGTCTATACGACAATGAGGAGGTGAGTTCTGACAGAGCTCTGTCAAAGAGGGGAAACTGAACCAATGTGGGAGATCTGCTTAATTTATTTGAGTGAGTTCAGCGTAAGTGCAGAATATAGTACTTTTTTTTTTTTTTACACTTGAAGGCATTTTGTTGCTCAAACATTAAAAAGATCTATCGATGAATCAATAATGAACGTGGGAGCAGTTCACAAAACTTTCGATTTAGTGATGTCGTGTTGTGTGTTTCCTGTAGGTGGGGTCAGAGAGCGCTCAGGGTGCTCATTCCAACCTGACAGAGCTCATCCTCAGCCGCCTCGCCTCCTCCCCCTCCAACCTCACCACTTTCCAGCAGGCGATGCCGCTGTCTTTCCTGATCAGCGCTGACATGGCACACGCCGTGCACCCCAACTACTCGTCAGTATCCGCATGACGACATCATAATAAACGAAAACATTTTGAAAAGATTCATTAATTAATCTCACTTGGTTGGTTTTAATTAAAACAATTTCCTCTCAGGGAGAAGCATGAGGATAACCACCAACCAGCTTTCCACAAGGTGAATAGATTTCTATGTTAAATGTTTTTAATCCTAAAATTATGAACAATATAACCACATGATATTTAAAATTGTTTAGTAATACAATCTTCTTTAAGGGCCCGGTGATCAAGTTCAACAGCAATCAGCGCTACGCCAGCACAGCCGTGACCGCTTCCGTCATCAGAGAGATCGCTAGCTGTGTTGAAGTGCCTCTGCAGGTACCGTGTGTTTTTCTGTGACTGTAGGTGAATAGTTCGTAGATTGTGGCCCAGCAGCTTTTCATTTCTTTGTCTCTCAAGACACTCGAGAGCAAATCTCCTAGCAACGTGTGTGAAACAAAGACTCAGCGACAAAAGCAAAGGCAGCTTACTGACATGAGTTAGAAGAAAGAAAATGGGTCTGCACAGATGATGAAAGGTCAGTTTTTATTTCTAGGGCTACAAACTCATGTAATCTCATATAATTATAGAACCACTTCGTAATGAAATGCGAAATTGAATTGATTGAAAAGAACACAAACTTCGAATCAATTCAAAATATTTAATCGTAGAAAATACAGATAATACATCAGCTAAGTGAAAAAGAGAAAAGGAGGAAAATAGAGGACAAACGCTCAATGACACAAACCTTCTCCTACAAACAAAGCCTCTTAGTTACGTCTAAGATGGACACGAGATCAAACGGGATCATGTAGTGCATTAAGAAATCATCACTGTGCTACCACCTAGAGGCCAATAGGGGAACAGATGTTACCTATATTTCTTACCATTTGACTTACGACCTGCAGGATGTGATGGTCCGTAACGACAGCCCGTGTGGAACCACCATTGGACCCATCCTGGCCGCCCGCCTTGGCATCCCCACTGTTGACATCGGAGGTCCGCAGCTCTCCATGCACTCCATCAGGGAGATGTGCTGCACCTCCAGTGTCCTGCAGAGCATCATCCTCTTTGAGGTAACCAAACTATATCTGTCAGAAGAACAGTTCAGGGATTAATATACAAACTCTGACACAGTGAGCTTCTAAGATTGATCGGGGAGCCGGAAGCACAGAGATTCAGGATATTCAGCAGAAAATATGTTCACTCATTCTGCAGGTTTAGAATTGAAATATAAAATAAATGAGACGTTCATAAACAGCAGCCAAAGCAGATTTCACTTAGATTTACTGATTTGAAACATCCTGCTACTGTGTAAAAAATAAATAAATAAATAACACGCGATAACACATCTTTTTCTCAGTCCCTGGTGTTTCCTGACACTTGTGTATAACATGTTTTCTGCAGATGGAGATTTTTCTCATATCGTCTCTCAAGTCTCTTGTCCTTTGTGTAACCTAAAATATAATTATTATTTTTTAACCCTCTGCAGATATTCGTCATATGTACCATTATTTTAACTTTGAAATGCTTCCTGTCTGTTTCCCCCTGCAGGGTTTCTTCCAGCATTTCCCCACAGTGAGGAGCAGACTGTTCGTCGATTAGAACCGAGAAGGATCATGATTGAATGAAGGGAAAAAAGTAATCACGCGTCATTATTCAACAGATGTTGATGCACATGAGTGTTGAAATTAAAATGGTGCTGTTAGTGATGACAAAGACAAATCCACCTCAATATTAAAAACTAACAAGTAATTCTATATTGAAAATTACAAACAAAAAATCCAAATACACAGGCACTTATCCATCTTTTTTTATGCATTAAAGTTGTTAAGAAAACTGCAGTGTCTTTTCTTGTGTTGTCTTTTCTTTTTTTTTCCTTCAAAACAAAGCAAAGACAAATACACAACTGATGGTGGATGTAAAAGCGTCCATCCTGCAGGAGACGGCTGCTCTAATTAAATTTCACCTCCTCAGGTTTATTAAAGCACTGAGAGGAGCCAGATGTACTGCTCTGCCAAGTGTCAGGACAGGTTTTTGGCAGAAAGAGATGGACCTCGAATGCACGTGAGCCACATTGTGATGCAGCGAGCAAGAAAAATAGAGACGAAAACCACTGCACTGCAAAACAATATCACAGTCATGTAGTCTTTTCCATCAGGTTTGTGTCTGTGTTCATTTATTAGGGACGTTATGTTATTAATATTTGATTCATGTAATATCCACCATGTCTGCAGTGGGATAATTTAAGAATATGCAACATGAAAGAAGAAATAAATAAAAGAAGAAAGTCCTCTAAACTGATTTCAGAACCTCACAATGGGGTAATCAAAATCATGTCTGCTCATATTGTGTATCAGCTACGATATTAAAAAAAAATCATTAATAGCTAAACACTTCCTGCACTGCAGCCTGTGGATTTTGCTGATTGGTTAGTTAAGCTTTATTTCTGACTCATAGGTCCATATCTGTATATACAAAATAAACAAGTGAAAAACCAAATCATCACACTACAAATCCAAAACGATTAAAAACACATAGACATAAAGGAAACAAAGAAGGAAAACAATCTGTATAAAACATTTCTAAAACAAGTTAAAAGTCAAGAAGAATACAAATAAAAGAAGTAGAGCTGTGTAAAATAAAAATAGAATGAAATAAAATGATGGAATGACCTTGTATAAAGTTTTCACTCTGGTTTTAAAAACAGAAGGAGCATTCCTAAGAAAAAGAAATATTTCTGAGTCTGTTACGATGTGTGTGAACAAGTCTCATTTGTTCAATACATTTTCAAAGTGCTTAAGTTCATTTTATAACTGTATTTTTATCTCCATTTCCCAAAAAATATGGTCTAGTGGCACAACTAAATATTTGTAAATAATAAATACATTTTCCTGCAATTAACTTTCGAGTAAACTCTTTGGCAAGTATCTTCCTCACCCATTATAATTACTGGTTGTGTTTTGTATTTATAATCATTTGAGGTTAGGTAAGGTTTTCTATCGGCCAAGTCTTCAAATGTACATTTAAAGACTAAAACAATTACACAAATACAAAAACTAATGCATTCACTTTTAACATATTCATCAAACTTTTGCTCACTTCAACCTATTACTCATTGGTTTAAATGAACATGTCACCTGGGTGCACGATTATCAGTCACTGCTGTCATTTAACTAGTTAATAAGCTGTGGTTTCATTTTATTTCTTGCAGTGTG